CTATAATGATACTCTTTTATCATATTTTTTTTTTCTGTCAATCAGGATACCTTAGCCTATGTTCTCTATTACCCTCAAAAGCCTCTGGTCACCACAAGAGCTATGGAGCATCTTCACTTTAGGCAACTTCCAGCAGGAATTGTGAGTCATTTTGCCTGAAGTCTTTCAGAATCCAGCTTGTTTCTTCTATCAGATCTCTCTGAAATGTTGTTTTTTCTCTGTCTTGTGTAGAATGCTATTGTTGCCATTTCTTGCTATTCTGGATATAATCAGGAAGATTCTGTCATCATGAACCAGTCTTCAATAGACCGTGGTTTCTTTAGATCCTTGTTCTTCCGGTCTTACAGGTGAGTATGCCAATACATGTGGCCATTTTCCTTCGGTCTGACCAATTATTTATACTGCAAACTTTCTGCGGGCAGAGATGAGGAGAAAAAAATGGGGACGCTTGTCAAAGAACACTTTGGGCGACCAGATAGAGCAGTTACTATGGTTAGACATAAGCTGGCACCTGCTGTTCATATTTCTGTGGTGCTTATAGTTAGTGGAGTATAACACTTCAGTGTTTCTGGTGCAGGGTATGCGGCACGGTTCTTATGAGAAGCTGGAGGATGATGGTCTTGCACCTCCTGTAAGTATAAAATTTGTTGTTACTTTAGTTAGTTATATCTTGATCTGATTAGGCGATTAACTTTAGAATGTATATATCATACAATATTTTTTCTTTCTTTCTTTCGGGTATAGGGTACTAGAGTTTCAGGTGAAGATGTAATCATTGGGAAAACCACTCCAATATCTCAAGATGAGGCTCAAGGACAATCATCACGATACACTAGACGCGATCACAGTATAAGCTTGCGACATAGTGAAACTGGAATGGTGGATCAGGTAACTTTGATATTTCCTTGCAGTTAGAGAGTTTCAGGACTGAAGTATGGATACTAAACATATCTTGTTTAAACATAAAGCTGGAGGGAGGGGTTCTAAAAAGTTCCCTGTTGGTATAAATTTTGAACTTGTTGTAGGTTTTATTGACCACGAATGCGGATGGTTTGAGGTTTGTGAAAGTGAGGGTTAGATCGGTTCGTATACCTCAGATTGGAGACAAATTTAGTAGTAGACATGGTCAGAAGGGAACAGTTGGCATGACCTACACGCAGGAGGACATGCCTTGGACGATTGAAGGCGTTACTCCTGATATTATTGTGAATCCGCATGCTATTCCGTCTCGGATGACAATCGGACAGCTAATTGAGTGCATCATGGGAAAAGTGGCAGCTCACATGGGAAAAGAAGGAGATGCGACTCCTTTTACAGATGTCACGGTAGCTTACATTATTTATCCTAGGCTGCTTGCTTGGTTACTCACTCGTGACTTATAGTATAATATTTCACCATTGTTTTTTGTGTATGTAGGTGGATAACATAAGCAAAGCTCTACATAAATGTGGGTACCAAATGCGTGGATTTGAGAGAATGTACAATGGACACACGGGCAGACCACTCACAGCAATGATATTCCTTGGGCCAACGTACTACCAAAGGTTGAAGCATATGGTTGATGACAAGATTCACTCTCGTGGACGAGGTCCTGTACAAATCTTAACAAGGCAACCAGCTGAAGGGCGATCCCGTGATGGTGGTCTGCGTTTTGGAGAAATGGAACGTGATTGCATGATTGCACATGGTGCTGCCAACTTTTTGAAAGAGAGGCTGTTTGATCAGAGCGATGCGTATAGGGTACATGTGTGTGAATCCTGTGGTCTCATCGCCATTGCAAATCTGAAGAAGAATTCTTTTGAATGCAGAGGTTGCAAGAACAAAACAGATATTGTTCAGGTAAGTTTCCATATTGTGTTTGGAATATTTTGGATTCTTCTTATTTTTTTTATTCTTTCCCATGCTCTCATTTGTCTCATGCCATTTCATCTAAATACTTTTCTCAGGTTCACATTCCATATGCGTGCAAACTGCTCTTTCAAGAGCTTATGTCAATGGCGATTGCGCCAAGGATGCTTACCAAAGCCCTTAAATCAGCAAAAGGCAGAAAGTGAGGAGCTTGCTCTCTAGTTTTTTTAGCTTTTGCGTGTTCTCTTCTGCTCCTATCTTTATAACAAAACTAAACTATGAATTTGTGTCTCGTTTATTTTTACTTCTGAAATTAGACACACTAGAGAGATATACTCTCATGCTGAAGCACAACTTTTGTCTTTGGACATTTATTTGTTCCTGCTTTGTCTTAGTCTTGGCCTAAAACATAATGACATCAACAAGAAAAGATGATAAGAAAGTCTTGCTGTAGAGAAGATGTTGTCACTTGTCAATGAATCTATGATGACTACGCAGAACATGTTCCTGCAACCACTATTCTTCCTAAAACAAAGCTAAAAGCATGAACTCAGCCACTGGTTCTAAGCCTCGAGTCATTGAAACCACATGCTCAATCTCTTATATGTTTCCTTCTGAAATTTCATCCACATCAACTACGTTTAAAGAAGATATATTCGTTGGTTATAAAGAATAAGATATACTATTGTGTGTCTATATTAGAATGGCTAATCTTGTTGATATAAATTGCCCTATCAACCAGTAATAACATCGTCCCTAGAGCATTATCAACGCATGGAGCGCTAGGAGAAGTCAACTAATCGCGGGCCACCACGTGTCAATAACAGTACTAGCATTGGTGCTTAATTTGACATTTTGGCAGCGATGCTTCCTCTCTTTTGACATTTTGACCCCCTCCCTCTTAAGCACTCCACTAAGTCTCCCCATTGAAGCTGCCCTTAGTAGCCAACAACATTATAACATTCTCAAAGCAACTTTTCCTTTTTTTTTCCTCCGTCCTCTTACCTCTCCGACACGCTTCAAAACCTAAAAAAAAAAGTGTCCATCTTCGTTGCGGGCCCTTGGAAGAAGCCCTTCGTTTTCCTTTCTGTAACCACAAGGGAATTGATCTCCGTTGCAGTAATCTCAATAAAACAGTCCTACAACTTCCTATGTCCGGAACCTTTCTTTGGGCATTCAGGATCTCCTTTCTATATCCAATACACGTTCATTACCTGTCCTAATTACTGTCTTCTCCTACCCTCCTCGTATTGGTCCATCCCTTGCCTAAGCAATTCTACTTGCTCTTTCTACGCCACAACTAGTTATAAGCGGGGAAGCTCCACTGCTTTGGTCTCTTCCTTGGGATGCAAGAGAAAGGAGCTGTGAGTTTTGGTGTGGAGTACGAGTTCGCGGCTAGAGAGAAACCTTCACAGGATTACGCTTGCAAGTACAAAGGAAACTACACGTTCACTGGTGGCAAAGCTGTTGGTTATAGAAACCTTTTCGGGATTCCATGGACTTTGTTTATCGCAGAGGATAGTCAATACTTCATCAATGGCATTCTCCATCTCCGAGCTGAGCTCACCATTAAACGATCAACAGAGCTTCACTGATCAATGTCTCTCTCCTCTCCATATTTATCTTTTCATGTAGCAGTTCTAACCAAGAGTGTCTTTTGTAATTTGCCTACGGAGCAGTAAAAAGTAAGGTTCAAAACAGTACAAGCGCTGTAAATTTGATTGGTATTTAACTTTTTATTTGCACTTGTAGTTGCAGGTTTGTTTTTCTTTACCATTAGTCCTAGGTTTTGGGCTTTTACTTACCTAAGATATGATATTGGGCTTAACATATAAGATGGGCCTATCTTATGGGTTCTTTAAAGGCCATTTTATAAGATGAAGCTTATTGCTTGGTGTGAACACAAAGGGCTTTTTCTTAAAGTTCAAACAATGCGGCTATAGAGTGAGTGGCACGTTCATGAATTAGTGTAAAGTCTTAAGGGTAATTCGGAACACAAAGATTCGAGTCCTCGTCACACGCGGACCCACGTAAATGCGTAATCTGCTTACCAGACAGACACGTCATGTTGTCGGGGACACGTTTTGGACCGTTCGATTTAGATCTCTTTTTCTGAGTTAGAACCCCACACGTAGCAATAATAATCCTTTTTCCCACTAACATTATTGATGGCCACGTCAGATGATTCGAGTTATATATGCACACGTTTTATTCTTACTCGAGGCGGCGTTTAACTTGCATCACCGTCGATTCAACTAAACTATACGGTCCAGATTTGAAACTGACGTGGTCTTTAACTTCGCTTACGTCATCGGGAACTTCCAGTATAGTTACTACTAGTATTATACTATTATATGCCCAGGTCTCTGTGAACTGTAGACAAGTTTTATACAAGTAGCCCAGACAGTATTTTCTATTCCTCGAATGAGTAGTCGACACGTAGATACATCCATGTGAGTCGCATTTCGCAGTGTAGGGACCACGTCGTGGACAGAAGCTCGTTTACGCCAACGCAAAAGCCTCGTTGGCCCATTTAACCCTCTAGATGCCAATATTCAACTGGCGTGGCTCCTTTTTCATCCGTTGGATCATTAGTTTCTCCCAGCCGTTGGATTCGAAGCATTTGTCGGAACCGTGGGTCCTACTGTTTTCTAATTAAAGAAGGCTTAAATAAGTAAAAATACAATCTTCCATGATGGCAAAAACGTGGCCATACACGTTGGTCGTCTTGTGGCACCTTTGGAAGATCTGAATCGGTGGGTGAAGATGGACGGTCAAGATGTGGAGTTTGGGTGGACAGAAGTGCTCTCCGCGTCGGAGGATGCCAAATAGTCAAAGGGTCTTTTCTTTGCGTGTATTTACCACCATGTCCTTTTCGGATCTAAAAGATAATTAGTTGACGGATTTGAAGATGATTTTATACACTATGGTAAATATCGAATTATAAAAGCCTTTTTAAACTTAAAACGAATTTTAAAAAAAGAAAGGGGATTAAATTAACTCTTAAATTAAAGAAGACGGACCACGTAAGGCACATGACATGATGCGTAGAGCGACTCCTGATCGAACACGTGTACGGGAGAGATGAGAAGAGAAGAGAAACAAATGGCTGGCACGAAAGTCGATGAGCCAACTCATCAAACACCACCGTAGTTTACGCTGTATTATATTCTCATGACACGTGTTTGATGACGTGGTCATCGTCTTGGCGCTCCGTTTTTTCTTTCTCTCTCTCTCTCTCTCTCGTCTTCCTTCCTCAAAAGAAAAAACTGAACTCTTTTTCGCTCTGTTTTTTTTTAAAGAGAGAGAGATTGAAATGCGTTAAATTTCTCTTTTACGTATAAAGTTTCTAGATTTGTATTTCTGAGCTAGCTAGCAAGTCCGTTTCGTCTTCTTGGAGGTAATTTTTATAAATTATACGTATTAGAGATTTATCATTCATTGTTCTTCTTTAGTTTTTGGTGTATGATTCATAGGGTTTGTGAAAGTTTTTTTTTTTGCTTTTATGCTATGTTCTTGCGTTTTCATCTTTTTTTGTATTGTTTTCGTTTTCATTTAGTTGAAATCATCTGTAATTTTGAGTTTTTGAAATTAAAACATAAACAAAAGGGATGAGGAGAACAGTTTTTTTTTTTTTGGGTGCATGTGATATGTTTTAAAGGGTAGGATTGTCCGTAAGTGTTCACTTTGTTGATTCTCTTTGTCGTCCTGAAAGCTGTCTGAACAAATAACGGAAGCTATAAAGACGTTTCTACCCCTATATCTCTGGCTTTGTCACACAACAGCTTCCTTTATTTTTGCAGAAAGAGCCCATTGTGTGAAGTGTGGAACGTTTAAGACCATGGGAAAAAGCGAGGAATCAAAGTCAACCAAATCAGACAAACCATCTTCACCTGTGGTATATATGTTGTTCAGTTTCAGACCATAACTTCCAAAGTCAATAGTCTCTTTGTAATAGAGTGAAAACTAAATGTTACTTGAATCTTTTGATGTGTTGATAGGATCAAACAAATGTTCATGTCTACCCTGATTGGGCAGCTATGCAGGTTAGTCTTTTATTACTCTTTACCCTCTCTTTCCGGTTTATGTAAATAGTACCATGCTGATGATGATCTATGGTGGTTATGTTACTTTGCTAGGCTTATTATGGTCCAAGAGTAGCAATGCCTCCATATTACAACTCAGCTATGGCTGCATCTGGTCACCCTCCTCCTCCTTACATGTGGAATCCTCAGGTATTATTAGTCAACCCAAAGACTAATTCTTCTTAACGCAGATAAATATTTGCAGACTTTAATTGTGTTTATTTTTTTTGTCTTGGATCTTTTAGCATATGATGTCACCATATGGAACACCCTATGCAGCTGTTTACCCTCATGGAGGAGGAGTTTACGCTCATCCCGGATTCCCCATGGTAAAATAACTCAGCTGCTACAACAGTTAGCGATGACCTTTTAAATCCTAAGATCAAGTGACTGACTTCATATATTTGTTAATTTTTGTTAACAGGGGTCACAGCCACAAGGTCCGAAGGGTGCACCTTTAACAACTGTGAGTAGTATAACTAGTTATCATTTCATTATGGATTTTGTGATGGTTTTCTGCTCACTGTTTTATGGGGTCGTTGTCAATGGCAGCCGGGGACGCCTTTGAACATAGACACTCCTAGTAAATCAACAGGGAACACAGAAAATGGACTGATGAAGAAGCTGAAAGAATTTGATGGACTTGCTATGTCTCTAGGCAATGGGAATCCTCCTGAAAGTAACGCTGATGAACGTAAACGCTCAAGGAACAGCTCAGAAACGGACGGTTCAACTGATGGAAGTGATGGGAATACTACTGGGGTAATGTCTTTTGTAGTCTCATGTATCCTATGTTTTCATAAGACCAAAACCTGAAGTGGTCTAAAGGCTGAACCCTTTTTTTTTTGCATGTGTTTAGGCTGATGAACCGAAACTTAAAAGAAGTCGTGAAGGAACTCCAACAAAAGGTATTAGTCTTTTGCATGTCCCAGAGAGAGTGATTTGGTGTGAATCATGGTTTTGACTGTTTATTTTGTTTTGGCAGATGGGAAACAATTGGTTCAGTCTAGTTCATTTCATTCAGTTTCTCAGTCAAGTGGTGATAACAGTGTAAAGCCTACTGTCCAAGGAGGAGCTGGAGCTATAGTCCCTGCTGGTGTAAGTGCAAATTCCAACCCAATCATGTCACAATCTTTAGCCATGGTTCCTCCTGAAACTTGGCTTCAGGTACCACATGTGACTTTATTTATTAGACTTCTGTGTATCTAATTTTGTTTCATTTTCTCTTACAAGTAATACCTTTTTTTGTTGTTGTCCAGAACGAGAGAGAACTGAAACGGGAGAGAAGAAAACAGTCTAATAGAGAATCTGCTAGAAGGTCAAGACTAAGGAAACAGGTTTGGTTATAAAAGTGAAAGTGAAACTCTCTTTATTTTCTTTTTCTTGGTGTTAAAGTTGTCACTAAAACATCATTTGTTGTTTTCTCTTGTTTTAAAGGCTGAGACTGAAGAACTCGCTAGGAAAGTAGAAGCCTTGACAGCAGAAAACATGGCGTTAAGATCTGAACTAAACCAACTTAGTGAGAAATCTGATAAGCTAAGAGGAGCTAATGCAACTTTACTGGTAAGTAAGCCTAGGCTAACCAATAATGATCCTTTCTCAATGCAATATGTTAGTTTGTTGAAGATGGTGAGTTTTTTCATTGGGTTGCAGGACAAGCTGAAGAGCTCAGAACCCGAAAAGAGAGTTAAGAACTCAGGAGACAACAAGAACAACAAGAACCAAGGGGAGAGTGAGTCTAACTCTACCAGCAAACTGCATCAACTGCTGGATACAAAGCCTCGAGCTGATGGTGTAGCTGCCCGCTAGCTAACGAATGTTCGATCATAACACTCTGGAGTCGACTTCTACTTAATTTGTCGACAGAGAAACAAAGAAAAACAAGTGTTTGCTAATTCCAGAAAACTTGTTAGATAGTATTAGAAGAGATGGAAGAGATGATTTGATATCTATATAGATTTTCAGGGTTGTTAATATCGAGAGGCTCTATTTTTATATATCGCTTTCTTTCTTTCTTTGTTGGACTTGGATCTAATAGAGACCTGATGTAGTTTGTATGAGAGACATCTCTCAGATCGGTGTTTGTTGCTTTGCGTAAGCTCTGTTTTGCTTTGATAATAAATCAAATAACAAATATTTCAATAAATCTCCACTCAGAATCTGGAGTGGTACTTAAAAATCAGCATATATAGGTCCAAGATTAGCAAAACTCACACACAACCAATGAATGGATAAAAGATGTTGTTAAGAGTGCGATCAGTGGTAGCTGAAGCTGATGCATCTTGACCACCTACAGGTTAAACACCTAAGAGAGACATGAAAACAAGATCATGACTTGTTGTGTTCTGAATTTCATGAGGCATATTAGTAAAACCATGGTTTAGAAATGGAGAAGAGTTCTCTCTATATATTGTTCACATCACACAGTTTTGCAGTCTGATCAGCACTACTGGTTATCAATCTTAGAAAAGCAATCTTCTTTGTTTTTTTTTTGTAAACTTGCTTTTAGTAACAAAAATTTCTGCATATGTATGTTTACGTTTTTGTTACTATTACAGCCATAACGTAGTTGTTTGCATGTTACTATCAGACCAGTTATCAATCTCGATAAGTCTCCTAAAAAAAAAACACAACCATTCAGCTTAGACTAAAAAAGGGTTTCTTCTATGTATCAGATCAACACTTAGTGGAGACACTAAAACAGCCAGCAACACCATTGTAACCACGGTATAGTAAGGACTCCTATATATAACATAGATAGATCTTCTTCTTCTTTATTTTGGCTACAAATCTACAGATGTGTATTGAATATGGTGAGACTGGTTGGTAAAGAGCAAAAAGAGGGACCACGTCAGCATTTTTAAAAACGGCGCGCGCGTGAGTATCGGTTTCAAACGAATTCTCATCCTCACGTCTCCAACATTCTTCCATTTCCGACAACACAACACACAGTTTCTGTCTCTCTCTCTCTCTCTTCCAAAAACTCGAAATCTCTTAGAAACCAAGTTTCCATCATCATCATCATCATCGCCTCTTTCTCTCCATTTTTTTTCTTGATCAAAAATAAATAAATAAAACAGAGAGAGATTCATTCTTCTTTTGATTAATAGAGGTGTGAATCAAATTAAAAATAAAAAAAAATGGCAGATTATCAAATGAATCCTCCTGTTCTTCAAAAACCACCAGGTTACAGAGATCCAAACATGCCTCCTCCTAATCCTCATCCTCCTCCTCCTCCTCCCCTCGCATCCAGACCCCAACCCCAACCCCCATCCATGAGAAAAACCGCCGCCGGTATGCCTCCTTCCTTCCGACCAAAGCGAAAACGCACAAACTTCTTCAAATCATGCTGCTGCTGCCTCTGCATCACCCTCGTCCTCCTCGTCTTCCTCTTCCTCGTCGCAACCGCCGTCTTCTACCTCTGGTTCGACCCCAAACTCCCAACCTTCAGCCTCTCCTCCTTCCGTCTCGACGGCTTCAAACTCTCCGACGATCCCGACGGCGCTTCCCTCTCCGCCACCTCCGTGGCCCGCGTCGAGATGAGGAACCCCAACACCAAGCTCGTTTTCTACTACGGTGACACCAACGTTGACATGAGCATCGGGAGCGGGAACGACGAGACGCAGATGGGAGACACGACGATAAACGGGTTCAGACAGGGTCCGAAGAACTCGACGAGCGTGAAAGTGGAGACGTCGGTGAAGAGCCTGCTCGTGGATAGAGGGTTGGCGAAGAGACTCGCGTCCAAGTTTCAGACAAAAGATTTGGTGATTAATGTTGTTGCGAAGACGAAAGTTGGATTAGGTGTCGGGGGGATTAAGATTGGGATGTTAGCTGTTAATTTGAGATGTGGTGGTGTTAGTTTGAACAAGCTTGATACTGATTCGCCTAAATGCATCCTTAATACTCTCAAGTGGTAAGATTAATTAACAACGATTAAGATCGTTTTTTTAAATGTTAATTACATTCAAAGTTTGAATATTTATGTGTGGTTAGTGAATAATGATATTTATACATTGCAGGGTGAATCTACAGTAAGGAAGAAAGGAAGACGACTACCGGGGTGATTTGAAAAATGGCGGCAACCTAACATTCGTGTAACTATATAATACTGTAGATAAGTATATATACACTTTTTCTTTTCTTTTTTCTAATTTTTGTGTGTTTGTATATTTAATTATTACTAGTACATGTTACTGAAACAAATACTATTATTTTTGGGGCATCTGACTACATTGGGGGTGGAACATGTTGAGAGTGTTGTGTTGTTATTTTGTGACAGGCTTTTTTTTAGTGTAATATATTGTGTGGGGTGTGATTTGGGAGGAAAGCATTATGTAATGTTTTGAGTATATTTCGACATTCTTTGTGTATATTTGGGATTTTTGTATATGTAAAATGGTGGAAATTTGAATACAAAACCTTCGCAGTCTCCACTAGTTCAAGGGATTCAGGTCGAATTTTGTCCAGTAGCTTATAGGCATAGTTAAGAAAATGGAACATTTTTTTACTTATTTGCTAAAGTACATTATTTGACATAGTTTGGACAACAGTAATGGGCTCGTAGATTATATGAGCTGATATGCCTCTTCCCATCTTAGAACAGAGATATATATATATATATATATTGGCAGGATGGTGTGTTGGTTTCTGCCTTTTTGGAGATTCATATAATAATATGGTGAAAAGTAAACTGGTCATGATGCTATCAGATCGTATTTTACAGCCAGGTACTGAAGTATACATCATTCAATTTGTTTCCCTGTATGTGTATCATCTTAGAGATCTGAGCAGGACATAACCCACGATTTTAACATGATGTTTTAGAAATGATAAGGGAATGTTAGTATGTTTTATATAACTGAGAATGTACTGTAACTAGGATAGAACAAGTGAGAAGATGAAAACAAAGAACGATCAGTGAGACTCCATCACCATTCTCTCATAATAGTTTCGATATGTGTAGATTCATATATATTTAGTTACGTTTATAAAATGTTGAAAATTCTGGAACTTTTTTAGATCAATTATTCCTTTTCACGTTTACATTGATTCAGTTTATTCAAATCACAACTTTAAGGTTTAAATTACAAACGTTATATATATTTGAACTCCAAAATTTGCAGTCTAAAAAGTGCCAACATTAGTTAGTCACAACGCTCCACATAACACATATATGTTATATTGTTTACTTAATGAATTAATATCTGAAATATTCTGCAAATGATAAGTGTAGATTTGTATGTTTTATTAATTAATTAGTGAGCATGTTTTTCTCCTCAACTAAACAAACATAAAGAAAGACATATAGACGATAAACAAATTAAAAAGACCATCTCGTTTCCTACCTACACCAACTCATACCTCAAATAGTATAATAAAAACAATAATTCTACATGTATCTAACAAAACAAAAATCTCATGCTTTAGCTAATATCGTGCAACTTCTTTTCTGATCACTTTGTCTACAAGGTTCTTCATGTGGCCCTTGGGCTAAGATATTCCAATTTCTTTTTCGATTTTCTCTCTTTCTCTACTAATAGATTAATAATGCACACCATATGTTCCGCTAAGGATCTGTTAATCAATAGTATTGTATTTCATTATATTAAATAATTACTTCGGCTTATCATACAAAATATTTGGTTATGGCCCCCAAATTCTCTTACTAAACTTATGAAAGAAGATGTATCCACTGAAATTACAGAGAAACATAGGTTTTTCGTTTCCTATCTCTATATTAACTTATGAGACCATTCAAGTTTGATCAAAAATTTAATGGTAAGTGCCGTTACATATGAAAAACTTTTCTCCCTATTTCAAGTCCAGTGTCAACGCTGAATATAATTACAATATGGAAAGCAAATATTCAGGGCTGCGGTCACTTGATCTCCAAGCAACATATCATAATTTCCCCAAAAATTAAAATAATCACGAGAGACATTTGAATTATGACGAGATCATAATAATAACAACGTCCTTTCCGAAAAGCTTTAGAAAAACATTCCATAAACATCATTACCATAAAATTCATAATTATCGTAGTGGGTCAAAAGCAATGTGAGTGACACTATTGTGACCAGTCTCACGTGACAGAAGGCCCATTTCTTCTCACACGCAATTGGCATACACGAACATCCAACGCGCGTGGAGATTGTCAAAGTTGCTTGTAAACCAAGCTATGAAACCATTAATAGGATGAAAAAAAGAACCGGAGTTTTAAACCAGACTGAACTACGCCACGTGTCCAGAGTCTAGCTCACAAATCAGAGAAGTGGCTAGTCGTTTGAAGCGCCACTAATCTCTCTCTTAATGACTACTACTTAAAGCCCGTTTTAAATACTACTACTAATAGAAAACATAATTATAACATTTCCAAATAAAATATTTAGAAAGTTTTTTACAATCTCGGAAATTTTACAATAAAATATGATATCTTCCAAAATCAAAAAGGAAAGTGAGAAAAATGAAAAGAAACAAAAAAAATCAAAAAGAAAAATAAAAAAAAAAATGGAAAAAAGCAATAAATATGGCGTGACAATATTTAAGAAGGGATGTTACTAAACAAACGGCGATTTATTCGTAGCCTTTTTGACTCTTCTTTCTCTGTTTTGTAACAGTTAATCCAAAAAAATCTACTCTATTGCTCTCTCCTTCTCTTCCTCTTCTCCGATCTAAAATGAAAAACAAAGTTAAGTACACAGTCCACCACAGGAAGCTCACATCTCTACCTCATCAACCCTTCAACGATTACCCGAAGGTTGTGAAAATCACAGTGACTGATCCATGCGCCACCGATTCCTCCAGCGACGAGGAGGAAAACGACACTTCTCCAGCGAAGAGAGTGAAACGTTACGTGGAAGTAATCAGTTTCCGCGACGAAACCAAAGAAGCTACAAAACGTAAAAAACCGACGACGACGAACAAGGCGGTGGAGAACTCTAACGATGGATCATCGGTGAAGCCTATCAAGTATAGAGGAGTGAGACGACGGCCTTGGGGGAGATACGCTGCGGAGATACGCGACCCTTCGAAACGAACTCGGCTCTGGATTGGAACGTTTGACACGGCGGAGGAAGCTGCTATTGGTTACGACAAAGCCGCGATTCGNCGACGACGACGAACAAGGCGGTGGAGAACTCTAACGATGGATCATCGGTGAAGCCTATCAAGTATAGAGGAGTGAGACGACGGCCTTGGGGGAGATACGCTGCGGAGATACGCGACCCTTCGAAACGAACTCGGCTCTGGATTGGAACGTTTGACACGGCGGAGGAAGCTGCTATTGGTTACGACAAAGCCGCGATTCGAATCAAAGGACGTAACGCCTTGACGAATATTCTGACGCCTCCTTCTAGTCCGATAACTCCGGTGATCGACCTTGAAACGGTCTCACGTTGTGACTCGGCGAGGGAAGAATCACAATACAGCATATCTTCACCTACTTCTGTTCTACGGTTTACTCCCAAGGAAGAGACAGAGCCCAGCAATCTCTTGTCGGCTGAGTCAAAGGCTGTCGATGAAAAAAATCCGGCGGGTTTTTCCTTACCGGATCCGTTTTTCTTGCCTGAACTGTTTCCCGCCAGAGATTGTTTATGGGATTCCGATATTACCCCTGATCATATGTTTCTAGACGATATTCAGTTATTACCGAACAATAATATGTCGGAGAGTTTTCCTTTAGGTGTGATCGGCGATTTGAGCTCTTGCTCGTGGGATGTTGATGAGTTTTTCCTTTAGGTGTGAATTTTTTCTTTTTCTTTTTTTTCTTTCGAGTGATGAGTGTTTGGAGATAACGACGGTGATGCATCTTGGTCGTCCGTTTTTTTTCGTTTTCTCAGTACGACCAAGGTGTACGGCTCCGATCTGCTGGAAGAAGAAGGGGAATCCCGGAGAAGCGTAACGGATTATATTATTTATTATTCGTAATTTTAAATTTGTGTTGCGAGTAAATATAGTATTAGACGCGAGTAAATATAGTAATTAGGTTTTAAATTTGTGAGTTGAATTGGGGATTTTGGGGATTTATTGGAGGGTTGTGTTGTTTTGATTTTTATCTACCAGTATGTTTGTCACTATGCAAGGAAGCAATATTATTAATTTCATATCTTATAATAAATGTAAATCTTTGTCTTTTGTTCATTCGCATGAATCTCACCCAAGTGGGGTTTATGTGTGACATGTCACATTTTTCTTATACAAGAGATGAAGAGAACATCAAATCAAACTCTTCTCTCAAATCCAAACAATAAATAACAAAAGTAAAACAAATTACTATAATATCATACAAATCTAAGACCAAATCAGCTAAAAATCTAATTTAAACATTCTATCAAAAGGTAACAGATTGTATTATTTTCTATAGCTATATATACTACTCCAATGTTACTTTTTTGGCACTAAGTGTCAGAGCAACAATGCCCATTAATGTGAAGAACCAACTCATTGAATCATATCTAACCCTACAAGTTGTCTCCACTTTAACACAATTCTCAACTTCAAAGAGAAAGAATTAACTACACGTTTAACTTATTGTATCCGAAATTTACGTCTATGCAAATAGTTAATTTGATCGAACACAAGCAGCAAAACTAACTAACCTACAAAGTTTGGTATACATCTAATCTATTAAAATGGAAGTACAAACAGGAAATACCCTTTAATTTTCCTCAAAAATTACAAGAACATGCCACTGAAAATTAGTTAACTATAAATCAATCAATACATTTATAAAAAAATAATTGGATTATTCACTTACCAAAAAATTATTCACGTGTACACACAATCCTTCACAATAATAATGAACCAATTGATTTATAGATGTATCTAACATTATACAAACCTTCACAATTGGCTGGTTTGTACCTATATATGTCTAACATTTATTTCAAGATCGAAGCAAGCCTGTTCATTGAGATCGACAGTCGAACTTATACGAACAATAACATCAAAACATTTGTTTGGTGATAATAGATATATAAGTTAGTAGCATGTCTTGTGTATGATAATAAANTAATCTAATACTATCAAGTAAAATATATTAAATATTATATTAATTAATAGAAAATATTTATACGGGAATATATACATATTAATTGTTTTTTGAAACTTCATTTGTTAACTAATTTCTATAGAAAAATGAAAAGCATAGCATATCATTTTGCTAGGAAACATGTGTATTTTGAAAAAAAAAACAAATACAGTAATTTTCAAAAGCATATTAAATAACATGATTTATTCAAAACACATTAGAAGATATATTATTGCTTAATTTTTTTTATCAAATGAAAAATGATTTTTGTAACATACCATCAATATAGTTGATGAGCATAGGAAATATATAAATTATATTTCAACTGGGTCAACAAGTTCAGATACATTTTAACACTAATATATATATATATATAGTTATATGGTAATATAATTTGAATGCTGGTTAATTATATATGCACTTTACTATTTCTACAATAGTATTAGAATATTTGAAAATTAATAATAGTGAATAATTTTGTTTTCTTGATATAACCACCATCCACCTATCCATGTTTCTTCTTCATTTTCATTTTACATCTTCATACAAAACATTTCTTTTAACATTTTTTGAATCATGTATACAAAATATTTTCCTCTTCATGTTATTTATCATTGTATCCATTCTAATAATATNTAGTGAATAATTTTGTTTTCTTGATATAACCACCATCCACCTATCCATGTTTCTTCTTCATTTTCATTTTACATCTTCATACAAAACATTTCTTTTAACATTTTTTGAATCATGTATACAAAATATTTTCCTCTTCATGTTATTTATCATTGTATCCATTCTAATAATATATCTAACTAAATAAATGCACACTGAAAGAAAAAAAAATTATATATGATTTACTAACTTCAAAAGAAAAATAATTGAATTTGAAGCCGAGTTTTTCAATCAAATTGAATAATTAGTACTAACGATCTTATTGGTTATCGGTCAATTTCATTTGTTCAACAGAAAATTGTTTTAGGAACAACATTTACCCAATTAAACAAAAGAGTCAACGGTTGAACCATTCATACAAACGGGTCCAACTAATGAAATAATGCATATAATTTAGTTTGCCTAAATATCTAAAAGCAATATTCTAACAATCTTAATTTGTTTTTAAAGTAAACAGTTACCCGGACGAACACACGGGTCAAAATCTAGTCAACTTTATAAGGAGAGAAATTGAGAAGGTAAAGGCAATGAAACAGAGTTGAGAAGAGAAAGACAATGTATTGGGACATGAACTTAGATGTCTTTATGTCAAAGACCACAGAGTCTTCTGTTTTGGAAATGGAAATTTAAAGGAAAGAGTCTTCCAATGAAGATGAAGACTTCTCATGATCTTGTCGTTGACCTTAGTCCCCCCACTATGATTTATTTATTTTTTTTTTCCAATGTATCAAACCTTAGATTACGACGTTTCCTAATATCATTACAGAAACATCTTGTAAATTTGCTACTCCATTAGTTTATTCACATGTTTTTAACCTGTCACTCTCTTCCTACTTTTGGATATGTTTTATACTCCTCCATTGTAGACTTTTCTTTCATTTCTACTAACTATGTTTTTCATCATCATTTTTCTCCAATTGTGACGAGAGTGTATAAAAGTAGACAAACGAAAAAGAAATCTTATTTAAAAAACTCAAAATAATAGAAAGGGGTCTGTGAACTGTGATGTTTTCTAAATAAAAAAGGACCATTCACCAAAAACAGCAATGACAACAGTATTGGTCCGTTCGAGGTTTAATTTGACCAATTGAATAGATTTGTCTCTTTCGTGTGTTTTAAAAACTGGACCAGACCATTTTGGCTTCCCGAAGTGCGACTAGACTACGGAAAGACCTTCTTTCTCGCAAAGAAGCAACGCTCCACTCATCTATTAGGAGAAATTCTGTTTAGTTATCTTTAATTGTTGTTTGACAGCAAAGTTTAATTATATTCTATAGTTTCAATATGCAAATTTCTTTGTTCAAATGATTTGTTATAGTTTGGCTTTTGAGTGTAATGCATTTATATAATATACTCCATATTAATATATAACCACGGGTGAGGCAAAATTAGCCGTATGGAATCGCACCGAAGATTTACAAAACATAACAAGATATACATATTCAAAATTTACTTGACTAGGGGACATGCAATGCAAAGGTATAACCCAAAAAAAAATCATAAGCAACCCTTTAATGTGTGTGGTTTGCGTCAGGAGATACTGTGTAAAGAAAGTTTTAAAACAATATCAACCAATAGTTTTCCCGCAGTAAAATTCAAAAGACTTTTATTTGTAATATCTTACATATAGATGAGCAATAAATAAAGCGGGTCTAAGCCCATGTAGAGAACCACGTTGGAAAAGGTAGTGTCTTTATCAGACAGAGGTTGGCCCAAATCAAATTGAGAGGTGATACAAGTTGCCTACAAAATCTCTGTACCAATGAGATTAAACTGGGTCCCATGAGATCTTTGAGTAATAAATACTTTCCCAAAACGCTTTACACTTAGATATCAGCCGGTTGAACGGCGGTTCTCTTGTAAATACAAAGCTGGTAAATATCAGTTGGTGTGTTAAAGATTCAAAGGCTTATCGTGTTGTCAATTTAGGCAACAACGCAAAGAACAAAGATAAAGGCACAAAGTGTCTTGTTTTCCTATAACTTGTTCACTTAAACTATATTACATTTGAATGTGAAACAAACTGTGATGTAAAATTCAAACATAAGGACTGTAGTTTTTAGAGATTGATTTAGCATTTTATTCTAAATATTCCGACTCTAACATTATAAATTTTGAACGATTAGGACAAATTTTCTTCCTCAGCCAACACCATTATACATTATGGTTATAACCCCACGTCAAGGATATACACTTGGAGTCTAGAACACATCCTCCCTGAACGAAATGAAGCGGCATAGACAATTGCTTTAAGTGTCACTCGTGATCAACGCCAGCAGTCCTACATTGCCATATATGCTCCGGTATGATTTCATTATCTTCTCACTTTGGAGGCTCACCGATAAAGAGTTTGTTTGGGTGAGCTATTACCCTTTCTTAATGATGCCTAATGACATTCCATTGTTTTTTTTTTTTTTCTTTTGTACCCGTTTCTTCCAAGTTGTACTATTAAACTACCAGCGTTATAAAAAAAAATAACCCACGTCAAGAGTTGTAGGTTATGGCTTGCGCTACTATAATTTTGTTTCTCTCTTTTTTTTTTTTAACTGTATTCAGAACAAGTTAAATGCATATTGAATGTGGACACCGTTATGCGTTTTTAGGTACATCTTATCGAATCTGACCGGAAGCTAAACTCTTTTTTTCCAGGTTGCACCTAGGGGTCCAACATGACACACTCATTTCTGCAACTGTGTTTGAGCCAATAGTGGTTAGACCTAGATACTTCATACATCAAATATTATCTCCAAGTTAGAAAAAAACAGCAAAGTGAATGATGATGATTTGTCTTTAATATGCAAAAAACCCTTGATGTGTTTTCTCTAATCTAATACTACTAAACAATAACATTGTTAGGTAGGAGAGCTATTAGTACCTAGTTGGTGAATGCTCATGTTGCTATTGGGTCAATATAAAGATACCACTTATTACTATTGGTTTCGCCAGCTTGGTTCTCAACTTACCATGTTCTAATTGTCTTCACAAAACATATAGACCCTATTCTTGTTGATGAATAGACAGTTTTCAGAAAAAAAAAAAAAACGAAATCTTTGCCTTACAACTTTTAATTAATGAATTTGGTCAAATTCTGAAGGACGGCACGAAGTTTACAAAAATAAATTAAAAACAGCGGCGCTTTATTTATCCAAACTCATACGAATTTACCGGGCTAGTTCACTGGGCAAGAGAGGGGCTAGGCCCAAATTAGGCCCATAGTGTGAACAAAGCTTAGTCAAAAACGGCAAGCAGTTTGGTCAAAAGGTTTGAAAACGTCGGTAGCTTGGCGTGTCTGCTCGATATTTTATCATCAGTGGCAACAACGTCGCAACGAATCATGTGCAGAATCATTTTCTTTCCTTTTTCTTTTAGATTCCCCATGCAAAATTGGAAAGCCCTAGAGAGAAAGCACCGACCAAACCATACGCAAATCTGATTAGAAGTAACGGCAGAACCTGAACTTTCTCAATTGAATTGATTCCAATGATGGTGGAAGAAGCGAAATTGGATTCAAAGTCGAAACCGATTGTTAATGAGAATTTGAGATTCGGAGAAAGAGCTTTATCAGCCGGCGGCGCCGCTTTTATATCTGCGGTTGTAGTCAATCCTCTCGATGTCGTTAAGGTTCGAATTTTTAGACTTCTTCTCTCTTTTTAATTCGGATTGAGACAATAATCTAATTGAGCTTTGTTTTGTAATAAGCAGACAAGGTTACAAGCTCAAGCTGCAGGTGTTCCGTACCAAGGCTTATGTCGTCTTGGTTGTTTCGAATCCAATTCCACGGTATTGTTTGATTAGCAGCTTTGAAATGGATTATCGATTGCTTAAGCATTTTGCTTTTCGTGCACAGGTGTTACATGATGTGAGAGGTAGAAGTAGTTCTCCAGGGGTGTGTCGTATTACTGGCTCTGCAACCGTGTGTTCAGATCATCAACAGTACAAGGGAACACTTGATGTGTTTATCAAAATTATCCGTCAGGTTAGAGCCATTTTGCCTTGTCTTGTCTTGTCTAGTCTAAGATGCCAATAAAGAGTGGAGACTCTTTTAGTCTCTGATTGTCATGTGAATGCACCACTTCTTGTCTTTTGAGAATTCATGTATACTAACTACATCTTGTGCTAGTGTTTGTGTAATGGTTACATAATCTAGTTACTACAATCTTGTGTTGGTTCACTATTTACTCATTGGTAGAGTTTCACAGGAACGAACGACTTTATGCAGGAAGGGTTTTCTAGGCTTTGGAGAGGTACTAACGCTAGTTTAGCCTTGGCTGTTCCAACCGTGAGTCCTTTTTTTTTTGTTTTTTTTTTTGGTAAAGATGTTTGGTTCTGCAACCTATTGATGATCATGGTGAATATGTTGATTAGGTTGGGATTTACATGCCTTGTTATGACTATTTCCGCAATGTAATGGAGGATTTCACGGTGGAGAAGTCTCCCTCTTTGACACCTTATGTCCCACTTGTTGCCGGGACAATAGCACGCTCCTTGGCTTGTATCTCTATTTATCCTGTTGAGTTGGCTAGGACGCGAATGCAGGTAATAATCCTAAGGGCCTTGAGCACTCGTACGATGATAAAAAAATCTTACACTTTATTTCATTAGGTGTTAAGACCATTAAAATGAGCAGAGAATCTAGCAACTCCATAATAGTAGTCTTGTAGACATAGCCAGCTTATGTCCGATAGATTCTTTATTTTTAGGCATTTAAGGGAACGCAAAGAGGTGTGAAACTTCCTGGCGTTTGGAAGACATTAGTTGACGCCGTCAATCCAGTCAAGGGCTCTTCAAGTAATGGACAAAACTACAGGATGTTGTGGACTGGTCTTGGTGCTCAACTTGCTCGGGACGTTCCGTTCTCTGCAATATGCTGGTCGATACTTGAGCCCGTGAGTAATTCTGTCTCAGAATCTTCCACTGTGTGTTATACACTGGTCCTCACGACTGTTTTCTTTTTACGACTATTAGACCCGGAGAAGCATTCTCTCTTTTATGGGTGAAGAACCAAGGGCAGGCAGTATAATAGGTGCAAACTTCACTGCTGGTTTTGTTGCTGGTGCGGTTGCTGCTGCAGCTACTTGCCCACTTGATGTTGCAAAGACTCGGCGTCAAATAGAGGTAAAACACACACATAACTAAATTCATCTTCAGTAAGTCCACTGAGTTACTATAGACAGCAAGTAAGGCAAACATTTTGCATTCGGGTTCTTAAATGATGTTTGGTTTCTGCAGAAGGATAGAGATAGAGCTAGGAACATGACCACAAGACAAACCTTGGCTGAGATTTGGAGGTATGCATTACCAAAAAAAGAAAGAGATGTATTAGACATTTTATTTGTTGGTATTAGCAGAAAGTTAAGATGTCTATGTTGGGGTTTATGTATAGGGATGGAGGAATGAGAGGGATGTTTAGTGGAGCAGGGGCTAGAGTTGGAAGGGCAGGACCATCTGTAGCCATTGTGGTTTCCTTTTACGAAGTGGTCAAGTATGGACTCCACCACTTTCACCAACAGTAACACATTTTGTTACTACAAAGATTACATTTGGATGCAGAAGCTAAACAAGTCTTTGGCATCTAACTCAATAAGAAGTGTTCTTTATACACGGCAAAGAAACAAAAACAGAATTCCTTAGAAAATTTCCAACTTTAATTTTTTCCCAAGTCGAATATTTATTATTTTATTTATTTTAGGACACGAGATTCTTGTCGGGAAGAATACAATAACTCCATGGTCAAGGAGGGTATGCAACATGTGAAATGTCATAAATAATTGGAGAGTGATTCTATATGATTTTGGACCATATATTATTTTCCTATCATTTGACATTTTATAATGAGAATAAACTTTATTAGAAATGTGCTAATCTTAGTTTTGTTTTAAAAATTCAAAGTTAATAATTGTCAAAAGTTTCTGGTAATTTCATTTGAAAGATTATACAACACATATATATGAATAAGAATAAATTAAATATGAAAAGGATGAACACACAATATGATTGATTGAAAACAATAGAGAGTGAGATTCAATCCCCAGGAATCATCATCAAGACAGAATCACAGATCATGAGCAAAGTAAACTCTTAGAGAAGACTGTTATCCACAAACTGAAACTAGAAAAAAAAAATCAGAAGAAGCTTAGGGAAGAAGAAGCATCGAGAGGATGGATAAGGTAAGTGAGCACAAGCGCCACCACCATTAGCAAATACGCAATCCCTTGATCTATCGATGTCCCTGTTCATTAAACCAATTTCAAAAAAAAATCTCAATTAATTTAAACCAACACAAAAAAAATGATGAGATCCGGTTATTTCCGGATTCCACGGGATTCAGATCTGGAAGGGAAATGCGAGATGAGAGTTACCGTCACTGGTGGGAGCAGGAGCTGGAGCTAGGTTTTGAGCGCCGGCGAGAGACGAGATGACGGCGAATACAAATGTGAATAACGCGAATCCTGCTACGGAGTTTCTCGACGCCATCTCTCTTCAGTGTTTTGAAAAAGGATAGGATCGTGAAATGAAAACTCGTGCGAGAGAGAGAGAGAGTATGTGCAGAGACGACGGAGAAGCCGTGTGATGTGAGGAGGATGATGGAAGTATGGAGACGACTTGTTTAGGTGTGTTTTTATAGTAGGTGACCCGGTTCGTGATTTCCGGTTTTAACCGGTATTGATCCCGGTCAAATCTGTTTAACAGTCAACTAAGTATGATTTTTTCCTGGATTGTTCCTTTTTTTTTCTAGTTTCCTTGTCAAAATTGACATTTGCTATGTTTCTAGAATTATTAAAAATTTCGTGAGAGAAAATGAAATGTTCATCTAAAAAAGAATTAACAACGGAAAATAATAAAATAAAATAATTAAAGCTTATTAACCTCTACCAAAAAAAACTTTGTAACAGAAATAGAAGAAAAACAAAAATTATTTAATTGAAATTTGGCGGCTAGTTTACTAACGTTACAGCGAAAGAAGGAAGGCCATGTGATATGTGATTATAACTTTATACTAACTTTTGTTTGTTAGCTATATTGTTAAATAATAGTAATAAAATTCTCTCTTTTTAGTTAGTGTAATGGTGGGGGCTGACTGACAGATTGGCAGCCAAACTGGACCTATTCGTCATGACTCCATCACTCTCTCCTCCTTTGTTTCTTTTTTTTCCTTTTAACCGATGATTCGATTCTCTTTCTATGCACTGTTGTTTTTTTTTTTTTTTTTTTTTTTTTTTTTTTTTTTTTTTTTTTTTTTTTTTTTTTTTTTTTTTTTTTTTTGCCTGGTGGTTTTCTTTTTTCTTTCTTGATTAATTTAACGGCTAGTAGGTGTTGATCTTGATCAGCTTGATTATCGGTTAATCCACTTTTTTTTTTGTCAATGTTTGTGTTAGGTAGAATGCTCACAAACTCTGTAGTTTCAGTTTGTATAAAACATAAAAATTAGAAATAAATAAAGCTCGGGTTGTTTCAGTTTCTTTTATCAACTTAATTACCATTCTATGCCACATAATTTATAATTATTTTGACGAGTATATGCTTATACTTGGCTTATTTTTAGTTGGAGAATACGTCGGCTGTTGAATGTGAGATATGAATAATCTGCTGTATAACTATAATTATTGTTTAATTATTGGTGTAATCTTTATTAGGTGACTATTTGACAAACTCGTTAGAGGTGTTAGCCGTTGGATGAGTGATATCAATCATTTTATATGTTTCATATATAATAATATTTTAAATATTACACGAACATGCATGTTGCAGTTGGAAATAATGTAGGGTTAACTTTCCAAAAACTAGAAATTTCGAATTTGAAAATCGTGAAACGTTCTAAAGTTGTATTTTTCAAGGGTAACTAGAAAACATTCAAAAAGTTTAACACGACATGTGATACTGAAGGAAAGATACACACAACATGTGAGGTGAATAGTTGAATGAGCTCTCTGACGTATTCAATCATGATACTCGACTAGATTTTCCCATTGGTATTTGAAGGGTCTGGAGAACATTTACGTATTTATAGAATAATACTCGTTATTCTAGAAACAAAATACTGAAAATCAGAGAGCTTAACAAGTGAATGTAATAATTAGTGGGTACGTAACCTTATTTACTAGGCATAGTATTTTCTTCGACGAGTAAACTTTCTGTCTCGAAGCTCTTAAAGAACATGTGGCCTATAAATCAATGTTTTACATATCGACATTTGGGTAAAGAACGTAGATGCATAAGATGGGAAGTAGTGAAAGAGACAATAAACCATGGTATATTCTGTTTTTATTAGAGAAATAAATTAACGATTAGCACGAAGATCCTGAAATAGAGGGACAATGAAGAGGATGGAGTAATGGACCTGTGAAGCAGCCATGTGCCCTGTTAACCCAACTTGCCTCTTATGGTTCCAATTCTGTTAGCAATGTTTTGGTCACGTATTTTGCAAAGATAAATAATATTTACATATATGTAGTTTGACAGAACAAAGATGATAGATAGAACTGCTAGTGTCATGATGAACAAGTGTCCAAAATTGATATTTTGCCAATTCACTGTGATTCAGTGTACAATCATTTTTCAGTTGAATCACCAAAACCATCTTCTTCTTTTTTTTTGTTCGTCCGGACTTGTTGCAAGAGGAACATTCAAAAGATTCTTACTTGGCTAATGTAAAACATGACTTGCAAGAGATGTACCAACTGTAAGATTTTGCTTCCAAGGAAAGATAACGTTTCGATATCTTTGAACATTGTTTTAAAGCCAACAAGAGTTGTGATTTTCTAATGTTTTTTTTTCTAAATTGCAAACCAAATTTATGTTTTTTTTTTTAAATATATTTTGCTTTGAATGAGTTGTAACAATCATTGGAACAATGACGAAGGCTAATTCCAAAGCCCATGTGCGCCTCATCAACGCCATACACTAGTACACTTGCTTTTCTAGGGACTTGATCACACTAGCAAACATCGTATGCACATGGAGATGAAGACACAAATCAATGCGCTTCTCTCAACTTTCTCTATATTTAGAAACACTTTACAATTATTGCAGAAGTTAAGACAAATTTTCTTACCGTTTCTATCATCAGTATATATTTGGAAATAATGAGTTGATCATTTCTCGTGGTCTCAGAAAGTAATATTAAGAACTTTTTCTTGCTGAGTGCAGTATAGTGTAGCTTGTAACTCTTGAGTGTCATCTACTTGATGGATAGATTATGCTGGTTTAAAGAAAATGAAAACGAGAAGTAGCCAATGAATGAAGGAAATTATAATCAGAGAACTCTTTTCTCTCTATTTATCTCAGAACAGTAAATAATATCCAACAACAATTACATAACTAAAGCACACACTTGTACAGATTATATACCTCTAATCATTACACATTGATGCCGAACTTGTGCAAGACCAAATCTGAATCAACTTCCGAAGAATCTGCCAACTTTTATCTCAAACTAATCATATATAGAGTTACATGAAGAAGAATCAAATCGTATCACAGACACAGACAGCTTTTTCTTTTACTTCAACTACTCAGAGATTTGGTTGCTAACCATGAACTTTCATGGTCATATAGGATTCACAGTTTCCAGGACAAAAACGTTGCTTCAAGTCAAATGGTTGTCCTAGATTCAGACTTGAGAGAGGATCACAGGTTTCTAGAGTCCAATGCCACATTGTCAAACCAGTTTCAGTAGCTTCATGTTTCCAGTAGAATTCGCAGCTACAAGCATATTCGATTTTTTTCTCCAACAGACGCTTGACACAAACTGTCCATTATCATCAAAGTATTCGTTTCCAGAAATGGGATCCACTGATCCAAACTTGTACGAAGTCATTGGCATTGGTAAGGATCTATAGTAACTATATACCTGAGAAGGAACCAAAATCCAAGTAGAGAATGTTTTTTATAAGTTGAGGAAGCAAAACCATTAACAATTCAAGGCAACTTTATAAGCAAAGCTAGACGAGATAAAAAAACTTAAAGAATCCTAAAGACTACTATGTGTTATGCGAATGTAACAAATACCTCATTGGTCTCTGAACCACAGGCTATATATCCATCCAAGACCGATAATCCGACAAAGTTCTGTATTCCGGTAAAAGATTAGACATCAGAACTAACTAATAAAGGAGAAGTTAGGGTGTGGATAGAATAAAGTTTGGGAGTAACCTTTTGATTTGTATGTCCTTTATACGTCAATGAACAAGCACCAGGAGACAGACCAGAAGAGTTTGTCTTGTTAAGATTCCAAAGCTTGAGAGAGTTATCAGTGGAAGCAGAGACAATGGTCTCTGAATCCATGAATTTAACATAGCTAACAGCTTTCTCATGGCCAGCCAATGTGCACCAAGGATTTTTCACATACCGAAGATCATAGCAATAGACCCTGTAGTCAGCTGACCCAAATGCCAATAAGTGATTGGAATATGCAGAGAATTGCACGCAACACACATTTGCTGGACTCCAGATTGTGCCTAATGACCGTTTCTGCATAGCAACCAGAGAAGAATATAAGTTCTACTACTTTTGGATAGTCATAAATCCATACAGAGAAGAGAATCATACTTTCGGGAGCTATATAATAATTTGGAGTTAAACACAACCTAACATAAGAATAATATTCTAGCAGTGTTATGAGACAAGGGAAAGAACCGTACCTCATTGACGCTCCAAAGCTTTACCGAACAGTCATCACTTCCACTGACAAATTTTGTCGGGTCAGATGGAGAAAAATCAACTGACCAGGCTCTCTTCTGGTGTTCTGTGTATTGGGAAAATCCTTGTCCAGTCCCAGCATCCCATATCTGCATTCGCCACACAGTAAAAAAATGTCAACTAAAAACCAGGACCAATGCATTTGCACGGTCACTCAGACAGCTCTATATTTAATATTTATCATGATTAACATTTATACGTTTCCAAAGAAAATGAAAAGAGCACTGGAGCCTGGTCCTATAGATCCTACCGCGTAACATAGTATAGTAAAAAAAGAAAGATTTTAGCATGACACAGACAGGAGAAACCATAAATTTCCATACGCACCTGGACTACACCATCATAGTCAGTCGAGGCCAAGTAGTTTTTGATGTAACTGTTCCAGCAAACGCAGCTTAATTTCGATTTGTTGACCATCTCTACTAGTGGATAGTGAACACCGACAGATTCATTCATAAACGCGTTGAAGTCAAAAATCTTGATTTTCTTTGATATCCCAGCTGCTGCTATGTGCTCCTCGTCAGGGTCAAAACTCAATGAGCAGACCACACTGGCAGTGTTTAAAAGGTCTCCACTTCTGATTGTCCCACAGGTTTCAAACTTGCTATACCGAGCAAATTTGCACAGCCCCTCGAAAAACACTTCAAGTTGATCTGAAGATTTTCCTTTGGTTCTGGTATCCTGATCCTTATTTTGGTTTTCAGACACCCTCTCCTTGTCCTTTAGAAGGCTTTTGTCAGAACGGGCACTAGCCGCAGGATCCGATAACTTCATTT